GGTTTTGTTATGATAAAGAGCTTTAGATCACTTGATAAGAATATGAAATTGCTGAAAGAGCAACCAAAATCGTTTTAATGAAAACCAGAAAGAAATTCGCAAGTATTATTACATGTACCTGTATGTACAAATGCTAAAGATCATCCCAAGTAAAAAGATTATTGAATGGGCAAAGATTCTTTTCCTCCCACTTCTTCTAGAGTTCTACCTCTTGCAATTAAAAATTTTTTTGCTTTTAGTATATTCTTAACTCTCAAAATTCTGCATCAAAAAGTTATGAAATAATTCCACAAAATCCATTCACCAGAAATTATTTGAAATCCCAATTTGTAGAACATATGATACTGTTTCAAAGCTTTATCACAATACAAATTAAAAAAGCAGATAGTTGAGAATCGTCTAGTAGCTAAAAGACTAAAATGAAGAAGGGTTCTTTAAGACAATTTTTTAGATTCATTTATAACAAGTAAAATTAAGAATATTTTGTAGAGAAATTCACCAATTTGATCAATCCCATATTAAAAAAATTTTTGCTTAGTTTAGACATCCAGAATACCCTTGACCTGCCCTATCACTCCTTCATCTCTGTCAAAGGAGCAAATTAAGCACTAGTCCTCATAAAGGAATCATCATTAAAAAAAGTATTTGATTTATGAAAACAATTACAAATTATCGCTCATAAAATTTAATTCAGCCAAAAACCCCCTCACATGTTAAAATAAACCTACTAGCATTACGTTGTGATTTCGAGTAGTTACTCAGAATAAGTAAAGTATCCTCACAGGCTTCAGTGTTAGGTACTTCAAGATGAAGGAGACATAACAACCCCCCAAAACTATATGAACCACAAGTGATAAAATATAGAAATTATAACCCCCCCAAAATGTTGCATGGATATGTCAGAGCTTTTCCTTTGCCAGACTAATGGATGATGAGAACATTTAAAAATTTTCCTTTGCCAGAGTAGTGGATGATGAGAACAATTAAAAAACTCATACATGTGAGTCTTGCTTTATACAATAGGGTATGTTCCTGAAAACTTTATGTGAATTAGACCTAATTTCAAATCTACCTGAGAAGCTCTTAAACTAAAATGACTAATTTACTTCAGAATACTTATTCCCATTTTATCTATTTCAAGTAAATCAAATGTGTAACAATGTGATTTTTCCACAGTAGCATAAATTTCTAGCTTCAATAAATAATCTTCTTAGAAACTGATGACTTCTTAGAATAATTTTACAGAAATAATTTTATATTTATAGGTCTATGTACATATGTATCCATGTATACACAGATAGGTATACAGACATACAAAATTATATGTAAAAAATGAACATACTTCCTTTTGCATGCATAGTTGCTGATATAGTACCTGTAATTCTCACACAAAGTTCAAGAAAATAAGAAAATGTTGGATTTATTCTCCCCCTAATCAGGTACACAATGTATAGTATCGCCAAACTATTTTTAGTTGTTGTATACAAATTATGTGGAAAACAAACAAAAACAGAAAAGTGGGGATGAGGGGGCTGAGTCACAGAATAGTAAGAATTAATAAAACCTTTTTCTATTTAAAATTCATTTAGTGAAACTGACACACTGCCCTTGATGACACAATCGCCTAAAAGACAGCATATATTTTGTCTACCTATCTCAAATCAATTTCAACACCCAGATTAATTGATTCATATAATATTAGTCAAAGGGTAATGTTTAGTGACCACAAGCCCACCAAGGCATATGTAAATATGTGTTTATATGCACACATACGCATACCAGAAATTTGAATTTCTTAAATTGTTGCTATATTTTCCAGTTGAATATGAACACGTAGTATAGTAAGCAATAAAATGGAATGCTCCTTTACCAATAGTTTTAAGAAAGACAGAGACAATAGAACACAAAAATAAAACACAATTGGAAGCTATGTAGGTATACAAGATACCTAAATTTAGTTTGCTCTACTGATTTCACAACTGGATGGCATATACTACTTACAGAGAAGCAAAGGTGCAAAGATTGAAATTCAAACCCCTAATTAAGGAATGGTTTGACAGTTCTGATGTCCTGTACCTGCCTGACACCATAACTCAGTAGGCAATCTCAAATGAAAATACTGCATAAAGTACAATCTTAGTTGTAAGTTACAAGTGATCGTGTTTAAAAAATGAAATCCTCAAGTGTTCAAAAATCACTGGCACCCACCAAAACAACAACTTCTACATAGTTTTACATTCAAAGAACAGCAATTTGTAATAATAAAAAAGGTTTCTGTGGATTCCCCTTACAACATCTTGATTACTGTTATCTGATCATAACACAACTGTAACTAACCCGGCTGCCAAGTCAGCTTCTCTTCAAGGAGCTAGGTCTTAATCATAAATCAACAAAATGACTAATTCAACATTGTTTAAACCAGTGAGTAGATGCCTGGAGCCATTCCAGTTTTTACATCTTTCAAAAGGTCAATATACCTACTCAAAAACACAATAGACTTATCTTCAAAGTGCTTTCTTCTTTTCTAGGATTGAGAAACAATGTTACCATTTAAATTTAAAGTGAATAAAACGTTCATTATGTCTGAAATGGTGACCCACTAAAATATAGTTTCAGTCTTCCTCTTATGGCCCAAATCACAAATCCTTCCTCCTCCTCTTTCCTGATCATTTAAAATAGTTTTCTAGATCTAAAGACCCATTAAAATATTTATTCCTGCACCAGTCTTCATTTGCTACAGTAACATTACACAATAACCGTAAGAAACAAAACTTTTTCTTTTGCTAAAGGAGCAAGTGATGCAAATGGAGCTTAGATATAAACACTCCCCCCAAAACGGGATGCTAACACAAATTAAAAGGATTTAGTGGTTAAAATGTATCTTAACTATTTACATCTGCTTGCAGTGTTAGAAATGATGAAAACCCAGCGTTCATATCCTTCATAATAAAAATTTATTCTGTACTTTAATACAAAGGCTATGTTGCATAAACAGAGGATTTAAAGCTGTAGCAGAGTGGCTGAATGAAAGGAAAATGGCAATCTTTCTGGCTCCAGTAGATGCCATTCCCTATCACACAATGTTTCCCACTCATAAATACATGACAAATACTTCCTCAATCATTTTTTACGAGCAGGGATGCACAGGGGGTAGTCAATGGCTAGCTTGAGGGAAAATAGGAACAGCAGGCGGCAGAAACTGTACAGAAAATGGCTATGTGGTAAATTCTCTTCTGGAACATCACTCAGTTACCCAGTCTTTGATCTTTCAGCTACAATTACACTAACTTCCACAAGATCTGATCCCCCGCTCCCCACCAAACATACACACAACCCCAAACCAGATCATTAGTTATATATAAAATCTAAAATTTGGTTTTATAAATAGGATCACCCATACCTCTACATTTTTATAAATTAAAATTTGCTATTTAGACAAGAGTTTGCTTTCAATTGACTATAACCATATCATCATCACAACTGGTCTCACAAAAAACATGGGGTGTCTGGCGACAGCTAAATCACAGACTGGCGTCTCCCAAGCAGTCTGTCTACCATTAGGGTCTGGGAAATGGTATTTACTATACAATTAGAGCCAGGGAGTTCTACCTGTAATCATCCAAATACAGGTGTGAGAAGCCCCTTTGGGCAAGGAAACTGACTCATCCCTTTTCATGTAAACTTTGATGTCTGTATTGTTTCACGAAGCCTCAAGAAACCTTGCCATTCACACTACAATAAGATTTATTAACTGAGGTCAAGTAATAAATTTTAAAATTCCTTCCCAAAGGTAACAATTTTTAACACATTAATCATCAAATTTATAAGAATTTGGAACAAGACAGAACTGGTTATTTTAAAGTTAATTATCTACTGGAGGGCAGTGACCAGGTAGAACTAAATTTTCATGTGAAGTTTATGCTTTCTAGAACACTACCAATAAAGAAGACAAATTCAGTTTCCTTTCTGGAACACAAAATGTCTTAAAGTAATATCAACAGGGCATTTTTAGTTGCAGTAATTTCACAGAATTTATTCTAATCATTTATTGGAGTTAACCATCTGACATTAATTATTGTTTTGGCTTCCAGTCTATGAATGTTTATTTTTCAGTTTAAAGCTTCTCACTCTTTGATATCATATGGAAATGAGAATTTTTAATGGAAAATTGAAACCATGTGCATCTAAGTACTTAATGAAGTACAGGGAAAAACCGACAATATATTTTAGGAGAACGCAGATATTCTGCTCTGGATAGTTTTGATTTGTTTGTATGACTTAATAGTACAAAGCACTGAGGGTCCAGTGAGGCGAGTCAAAGTGAGCGCAGTGCCGAATGTGTACATGCCCCATGTTACATGAATATAGGATGTTTTCAAGTTATTTGTGAATGAAGGAAACCCTGCACATTTGGGTTACACGTCCAAAATGGCAATCAACACATGAATGCATAGTTTTTACCTTTCTACACTTTAAGTGTTTGAAACAGATACCTGATCTTCCTCTCTTCCCCCCGACCCCCGCCCGCTGCACACAGTTGTTCTCATTTAAAAAATTTTCTTAAAGCATTTAATCAGGATTTTAAAATTTACGCCCAGCTACAATCTCAAGTGGATATTTTAAAGCCACATGTAATATCAACAGTTAGAAATTCCTAGTTTAAAAAATATTATTGTTCTATGTAAATTCTCATTTGGCAAAGGAAACAAACAATAATGTCTATTAAATTTAAACTTAATAAGTAAATACGCATGATTCAATATTGCCTAATTTAATTGTTTTTTCTTAAGTTCTCTCAGTGTAGATCAATTAGGAGATTCATCTCAGAATGTAAATACAAACAAAGCTTTCTCATCCATTTTAAGCTTTTTAATAAGGAGAAAAATATTAAAATCTAACATAGCAGTAAGTTCGTGTGTGTGTGTGTGTGTGTGTGTGTGTGTGTGTGTGTGTACGGATAGAGATATGATGTCTGAATATATCTAGGAGGAAAAACTTACCATTTGTTTTTCTTTCTAATGTAGTCTTTTTCAGAAAGATTAACCAAGTAGACCATTGGTTTTGAAGTCAGAAATAAGTGTTTATTCAACACTTCAATCTAAAGTGGGAGACAGAGAAAGAATCCTTTTAAAATGTTGAGCAAATATTGAGTAAGTCACTGAAAAACTTGAAAGTAAACTCTTTCTAAACAAGTAGCCATTTTCATTTTCATAATTCTTATTTGTAAAACACTGGCTGTTATGCAATATCAGAAGTAGGGAAAAAGAAAATAATAACAAGCCTGGGAATAAGCAATCATTGACAGAAATAAAGTTTAACTAGATATTAATAACAATAAAATATAAAATAATGACAACTCTAATTCATTCTCTAAGAAATCAAAGCCAAGGCAGTAAGAGGTAGCAAGATGTTTACAACTTACCTCTTTGTCATTCCAATCATGATAGAAGCGAACAGGTTTCTTTTGATCTATAACCCAGGATTTGACTTTGCACATTATATCCTATACAAGATTGAGAAGAAAGTAATTACAGGGCGGATACTAAACATTTAGTTACTAAATAGTAAAATTAAAAGTTTTCAAATCCTCAAAATAAAAAGTCAATTTTATATGACAGGGGAACTAAATCACACAGATCATTTGTTTTCAATACCTCATTAAAAATCCAAATACCAATGAAACATTGTTGTGGCATTAACATTTGAATATATAAAATGTGGAATACTAGCACGATTAGTAACAGTCTTAGAAATTTCAAGACAATTCACATACACCAAAGATTATAAGAGTTAATAACATTTCAACATCACCTAGTGATGCCACTTGCAAGATAAACATGCTATTAGGAAATGGAGGGAGGGAGGAATACTAGGAAGAGACTGAATTATAATTTTTTCCTTAAAAAGGAAAACAAACAAAATAGACGAAATTGAGCCTATTATTGATGATCTACCCTCCAAAATATTAAATCAACTGACCAAAACCCTTCTAATTCTGAATTAATTTTTTGCCAACACCTTCTTCCTGCCCACTTCTCCTGTCCCCGCTCCAACACCGCCCCCCCACCCAACCTGCCAAAGCCTCCATTACACAATGGCAAGAGCCCTGCACTGGTGACCTCCAACCAGCTGCATTCACTTTCAGAACATCTCTCTCTGCTGGAAATCTAAAGGCCTTTTAGTTAGCAAGCTAGTGTGCATTCAGAAGGAGTAACTGCAGGAAGAGCCCAATGTGCTTTGTTTCTCTAGCCTTTCTTCACAGAAAGATTAATCATCTGTGAAATGGAAACGGCAAACAGCAAGTGACACAAACTGAACCCTTCAAGTCTTTCCTCATCAGTTTTGTGGTTCTGAATCTAAAAGCTGCGTGTGGCAAGGTTCTTCTTACAGGCAGGTGTTAATAAAAGGCTCTTGGGTCTGAAAGGTCAAACTTAGCTCTTCCAGAAGAAGTGCATTTGAGAGTCATCTGGTTTTTTGTTGTTGTTGTTAAAGATAATTTATGGATATGTTTTAAATATGCATTTCTCAAAATTTTATTGTAACACACAATTATTAGTAATAGAGTTCTTGGGTTCTCATCGATGTATTTACCATAAATCAGTTATTTTTCTATAAATATCCACTTGTATAAATTACCTCAGTATTTAGTATACCTTCCTTCCAAATCTTGCTGTTACCAACAGGAAAAATAAGGAAAAAGCCCTATGTCCTTAGATCCTGATTTGAAACTCTCCAGGAAAAGGACTTCCCACAGATTTTAACAAGGAAGGGGCAAGCTGAAAACTTTTAATGAAATCTAACATGTTCTGCTTAAGAATAATCACTTTTACTCTTCTATAACTGAATTTCACTCATAAATGTTTAAAAGTGGCTAATGTAACACCATTTCCTACAAGGAGAAGATCAAAGTGCTATATTACAAATGCATTATGATTAAAAAAGCCCTGTGCAGCCTTGCTATTAACTGTTCTTTAAACCCTAAAAGGCTTCCCATAGATCTCACTTGGCACTGCATATACAACCTTTGACAAGTAATGTAGACCATTTTTATTCATTGCCTAAAATTGTAGGCAATTATGTGCGTCACACTGGCCACCTGCAAATTCTGAATGCCTGCTCCAGTTGTCAGTGCAAAAAACTAATGTCGGAGGGGATTAATCTAGGGGGAGAGAGTCCTCTTTAATGGCTCCAGCAGGTGAAATGGCCCAGCTGGTTACTATGATGAGTGGCCAGAACAGCTTATGTAGAGACATGCAACAAGATTATACAAAAGGAGGAAACAGTGGTACCATCTTATATTTGGTTCCATTAGTTTTTTCAATTAAAGAAAGAAAAGAGAATAGACAAAAGAAAGCCAGACCAAAAATAAGGAAGGAAATTAAATTTTAATCATATAAAAAGTATAACATACTTTTGTAACTGTAAACACTTTTATAAAACCAAAGGGCCTCAATAAATGCTCATCACTAGTGAAGGAATTTGAGTATTTCTTTTTCATCTTAAATTACATAATCACTGCAGACATAGAAATGTTATCAAAAAATTTTTTGGCATTAATCTTCCCCCTCACATCAACACATTAAACTACAAATTAGAAACACTCAAATTTTAGTCAAAGAGAATTAACTCATAATTAAAGTTCTCAAACAGTATATTCATCAAAGCCACATTCAAAACTTTTTTTTTGACATGGGGCTCGATCTCATGACCATGAGATCATGACCTGAGCCAAAATCAAGAGTCAGATGCTTAACCAACTGAGCCACCCAGGCACCCCCACTTTCAAATCTTTCAAAAAATATATTATAGATTATAACCAAATGTTTGACAAGTTGAATTTTAAAATTTAAAATATTTTATTTTGTACTAGTACTCTCTATATTATCCCCATAGAAGATTTAACAGCCAAGAAAAGATACCTTAGATTATTAAAAGGTGCCAGTTTACTTAAGACAAATAAAAAAGGTCACTCAGATAAGATTATTTTACACAAATGACCATTATACGGTATAGGTGTAATGTGCTGTTTTCTTACATAAAAATTAATTTTAATTTTAGCAAAAAACTAAAAGGTGTTTTATGTTCCTTATCTGAAAAAACTCTAATCAGATTAAAGAAAACATTTGGACTTATTTGTATATAATACTTAATGAACTAAATTTTTATGCTTTATATAAACACATATATTAATAATTATGATTAGAATAATAAAAGGTTCTAGTTAATTGACTATGGTTAACTGAGAAAATAATACACATTTAACCTACTTTTAACAATTTGGAATACAATCAAAACATAAAAACACCTTAATGCTTGAGGCATCAGAAGTTATGTTAGGATTTCATAATTTCTTTAGTAACATCATTAAGTAGAAATTCAGATGTGAGAGGATAACTTTTGTTTTGATAACTTTAACAAAGTCCTCACTTTCAAAAACCTATATACATAATGAAGGCTATGCAAAAATTCCTGGATATTTGAACTTTTTGGTTATATTGTAGTGATGTGAGTACACTAATTGGAGAGGTAAGAGCTTAATGCTTAAATGTGAAAATAAGCCCTAGACCTACCATTTACCAGCTCTGTGATCTATTATTTTATTAATAAATCATAGATGATGACACTATCTACTCCTGGGGGTTGTTGTGAAGATCAAGTGAGATAATGCATATAAGGTGTTTCAGTCCTTAGCACAGAGTTAAAATTTCAGTAAATGTGATCTGTTGCCATTGTTATTACGATTGTTGAAAGATTAAATACCAGTCATCATTAGTCCTTTTCTTCAAATTTCTTAAGTTTTACCAACAATAGTGTCTTTCTTAGTGAAATTTCAATTCAGGCTTCTAGTCTTAACATTCTACAAGAACTAGTTTTTACTAAACAATGATCTTTTAACTGCAAAGAAAATCCAAAGTCACCTTGAATTCCTCACTCATCTGCTTTGACTCTTCTTTCTACTAGTCTCATATTTGACTTAAGAAATGCTCTATTTTTTTAATTTATTTTATAATTTTTGTTAACAGCAGTTGTAATGTATGTAGGCTCAGGGAGAACATGTGACTTGTCTATATTCCCACAGCTAGTAAGTGGCAGAACTAAGATTCAAATTCAGGTCTAAGTGACTCGAAAATTCACGTGCTGTCCAATCACACTGCCTATTTATCTTCCTTATTGTCTTTCTAATTGCTCCTTATTTAGCTTAGTTATTCCCAAGGTTGTTATTCTAAGTCTTCATCTCGGTCCAAGGTCATCAAGGAAATTTAGTATTCCTACTATTTGGGTATAATACCTGATTATCAATCCATGTATCACCAAAATATTTTTCTTTGCACACAATAACATAATTGACTTTCCAAGACTACATACAACATTTCTCTGTTTTGGTATTCTTCAGTTTCCACAGCAAGAATTATTAATCTGTGACCCATAAGTAGATTTCAGCGTTTCCCTAACACCCTGAAATTGTATGTAAAGTCCTATGTTTATGTGCCTTTGAGGGATGACAGCACATATCTTTCAAATGCTTTTACAAGGGATTCATGATCCACGGATCCAAAACCATGGTTATGACTGACTCTGGCAATACTCAAATGCCCCCAAAACAGCCAATTAAGGAAATGTTTTAGGTCCATGGACTTCCAGACCTGAGGACCAGAGACACTAACTTAAAACTTGTTTCAGCCAGACTCTCACTCAAAATTCATCTACACTGATTAACAACATGCTGATAAAATTCCTAGCTACTACAATGTTTAACATAATTCTAGTTAAAATTATAACAGGGATGTTGGAGAATGTTACAGATTGAATATATCATTATTCTAAAAGAATGAACTGTTCGAGCGTAAAAAATATTTAGAGAGAAAAATATGTTACTTACCTTACTATGTAGTAAACCATAAAGCTACAGTAATTAGAATAGTGTGATACTAGCACAAAAAGAGAGGTACAGATTAGGAACAACATAAAAACCCATTAACTGGAGGTTTGCTAATAAATTATGGGACATTAATAGAACAGTTTTTATCCATGAAGACAAGACCTATCTGCATGTACATTTGCATGGGAAAATGTCCAAAATGAATTCCTAAGTGATAAAAGCAGATTCACAACAATGAAATAAAGTTAAGAATATGGATTTTGTGGAGGCGCCTGGGTGGCTTAGTCGGTTAAGCATCCGACTTCAGCTCAGGTCACGATCTCACGGCCCATGGGTTCGAGCCCCACGTCAGGCTCTGTGCTGACAGCTCAGAGCCTGGAGCCTGCTTCAGATTCTGTGTTTCCCTCTCTCTCTGCCCCTCCTCCACTCATACTCTAACTCCCTTTCAAAATAATAAATAAACATCAAAAAAGTAAAAAAATAAGGAGTATGGATTTTGTCATCAAAAAGATCTGGGCTTGAGTTCTGGCTCTGCCACTTTCTACCTGTGAAACTTTGGGACAGTTAGTTAACATCTCTAATTTTTGTTTTGGTAAAATTGATGTAACTCCAATTCAACATAT